CAAAGGACTCTGAACGACAAACTGCGCTTCACCTTGCCGTGAAAAATGGCACAGGCTCTGGATCGGTATGTGTTGAGTTTCTGTGGTCTGAGAAAAAGGGTCTTCAACCGTCTAACGAATTCTAAACCGTGTAAGACAAACCACCTCATCATGTACTACCTGTGCATGACCCTCCTTGACGTGAGGGTTTGGTATTGCATTACTGTATTCATAAATATGTCTGTGACTTCAGCTGAAGACATCTTGGTCCATCAATACTTCAGATTAAACCTAGGAATGCATCACTTTTCATCAGTTATTCGTCGTACCATTTCCTGATTTTTTACTATTTAATTTACGGACGAAGGAGTTGGCATTGACATCCTGGATTTTTCTCATTTAGAAAATGCAGTACTGTAGTTGAAAAATGATCCATGTTACACTGTATTTGAAAATTTTTGGTCTGGAACAATGATCCGTTGCGTGATCTGACTGAACTCAAAAATATGTGTACTGTACTGTGTTCGAAACGAACCGAATTTACAGGATTTTGGATTTTTAGAGTGGGGTTTTGTCTTCTTCATTTAGATGGAAGCAAAAGAGTCCATCATCAGACATTTGCTGCTTGCTGGAGCGGATCCGAATGCTCTCACTCCTCGACGGCAAACTCCGTTGCATTTGGCGGCAGCAAATGGCGGTGCAGAATTGGCAGAAGTGTTGTTGTCGAGCCAAGCTTCACCTGCAGCTGTAGATGACGAGCAGAACACTCCACTGCACACTGCCATGAAAAACAGCAGGTTTTCCGTCGTCAAAGTCTTGATCTTGGACGACCGAACGGATGTTCATGTCAGTAAGCGATTGATCGTGGGATTCCCTAGAACGGAGGGTCGATGTATAATGTTTGAAACGAACGCGCTTTTGGAAAATTGGATCCGAATTTCATGATACTGTATTTCAGAATTAAGCTGGGATTTTTTCCTCATTTCTTGTCGGAGTCTTCTTGAATGCATGAAATATGGATCTACTAGTTATTATTAGTACTGAACTAGTTATTATTATTACTGAACTAGTTATT